GAGAAGGTGTGGAGAGTCAAGGTGTGGAGTTACTAAAAGTATTAGTCAGAGGGCTGAAGAGGGGTTGTTGAGGTGGTTTGGTCATTTAGAGAGAATGGATCAAAGTAGAATGACATGGAGAGCGTATAAATCTGTAGGGGAAGGAAGGTGGGGTAGGGGTCATCCTTGAAAAGGTTGGAGGGAGGGGGTAAAGGAGGTTTTGTGGGCAAGGGGCTTGGACTTCCAGCAAGCATACATGAGCGTGTTCGATAGTGAATGGAGACGAATGTTTTTTGGGACCTGATGAGCTGTTGGAGTGTGAGTAGGGTAATATTAAGTGAAGAAATTCAGGGAAACTAGTTATTTTTATATAGCTGGACTTGAGTTCTGGAAATGGGAAGTACAATGCCTGCACTTTAACCCTTAAACTGTCCAAACAAATTTACGTTCACATGCATAGTGCTCCAAAAGTAGATCTACGTTATTTTACATATTTTCAAATATAACAAAAAAGAAAAACGTAGATAAAAATTTTTTTTACACATTTTCAAATGTAAAAAAAAAAATATACGTTTTTTTTACATATTTTCAAATGTTGAAAAAACGTAGGTCTACGTTTGAACAGTTTAAGGGTTAAAGGAGGGGTTTGGGATATTGGCAGTTTGGAGGAATGTGTAATAGGACAATATATATACAGTGGACCCCCGCTTAACGATCACCTCCAAATGCGACCAATTATGTAAGTGTATTTATGTAAGTGCGTTTGTACGTGTATGTTTGGGGGTCTGAAATGTACTAATCTACTTCACAATATTCCTTATGGGAAAAAATTCGGTCAGTACTGGCACCTGAACATACTACTGGAATGAAAAAAGTTCGTTAACCGGGGGTCCACTGTATATAATTTGGGCCCTGATATTATATTCTATATGGAGTTTATTATATTATTTAAGGTCACTTTTTATATTTTATCTTAATATATGCTTCTAAACTGTTGTATCTGGGTGCTTCTGCAAAAACAGTGATTATGTATGAAAGGCGAAAGTGTTAAATGATGGTGAAAGCATTTTTGTTTTGGGGATTTCCTTTGTTTTTGGGTCACCCTGCCTAGGTGAGAGATGGCCGACTTGTTGAAAAAAAAAAAAGAAATAATATGTGGAAGAGTTTCAAAAGTTACTGGGAAGAAAATGTCATATTTTGTCGTCCATTGTTAGGTATTTTTATTTAATAAACTTTTATGAAATATTTTGCAGTCTTAACTTAGTAATAATTTAACCTTAACTAAATTGATAAGATTGTGCTAAATCTGCAATTCTATAATATCAGTTAAGTGGAATCTTATTGGCATAAGTTTTATACTAGGACTTGGTGTGTAACTCTTTATATCTCATACCCACGTGAAGTGTACATGTACAGTGGACCCCCGGTTAACGATATTTTTTCACTCCAGAAGTATGTTCAGGTGCCAGTACTGACCGAATTTGTTCCCATAAGGAATATTGTGAAGTAGATTAGTCCATTTCAGACCCCCAAACATACACGTACAAACGCACTTACATAAATACGCTTACATAATTGGTCGCATTCGGAGGTGATCGTTATGCGGGGGTCCACTGTATTTTATTCTGTTACAAAACATATGAAATAGTATAGCAAAACAAGCATTAATAAAATATCTAAGCACATTAAATTTGCAGGAGGTTTGAAGATGTGATACTTCAAGCTTAGTATTACAGTGTGATGGAATTTTCCAAGGCATTAAAATGCTCATATATTATCATATTTTTTATATATACTGTACAGTGGTACCTCAGATTTCGAACAGCTCCCAGCTCGAACAATTATGTAAGTGTATTTTTGTAGGTGCTTTTGTAAGTGTATTTTTGGGGGTCTGAAATGGACTAATCTAATTTACATTATTCCTTATGGGAACAAATTTTTTCGGTAACGGCACTCGAACAGCCTTCTGGAACAAATTAAGTTGTAACTTGAGGTACCACTGTATGTACAAAAAATGACGAAAGTTGTTTATGTACACTGTACAAGAATTGTTTATTATCTTAGCTGTATTTTAGGGTGTGATACTTCTTGAAACATGGTTATTCATTTTACCAGTCCTGTGGTTTTACAGTCTTGGCCATCTTTGAGACTACATAAATAACATCTGAGTACAGTAAAAAAAATTCTGTTGAAAGAACTGGCTTGGGGAAGTGTTTACCTGAGTCTAAGGGTCACTTGCAGCACTTTAGCAACACTGGCTATCTTTCTTGAATTTGCCTTATAGTAGCTATGTGGAACTTTTAAGCTTATTCTTTTGTATACCCTATATACATACTGAAATGCACTTGCATACCACATCATTGAGATGACATTAGTTTGATATATTAATTAAAAGTTAATAATGCATTTCACAAAATCAAGTTGCATGTCTGATTTATTAACAAACTGCATATTTTTAGCAAGAGTGATCATTTCATTGGCCTGTTACCTTAAATCATTACAAATTCTTGTATGGTTCAGTGTAGTGCTTAATCCTGCTTACCACTCCACCCAAATGTGAGTATTACTGGCATGAAATAACCACACATAAATTTTGCCTATTTGCATTTTGAATGAGGGCCTTTTTCTTCTGTAACCGCTACAAATTATGTACTATTTTCCTTATGTGCAAATTATTAAAACTTCTCTTTACATCCTTTGTCTGCAAGAAACCTGATACTATGAAGCAACCCTTACTTCAGGCTTCATGGCCTAATGTGCTGAGGACCCTATGTTCTGTTGATTTTTTGTGAAGGTAGCCCAACACATCAGGGATTGGTAGATAAGACACATAGGCAACATTTAGGAAACTTTATTCCGAAACGTTTTGCCTACACAGTAGGCTTCTTCAGTCGAGTACAGAAAGTAGGCAGGAGCAGTAGAGATGTGAAGACAAGGTAATCAGTCCATCACCCTTGACGTCGTAGATTTGAGGTTGTCAGTCCCTCAGCCTGGAGAAGTTCTGTTCCAAAGTCTGGAACTAACTGAAGATCAAGCGACAGTGTTGAGACTTAAATACTGTTGGAAGGAGAGGTGCAGAGTAGTAGTAGTGAGAATTGTAGCCACATCTCTACTGCTCCTGCCTACTTTCTGTACTCGACTGAAGAAGCCTACTGTGTAGGCGAAATGTTTCGGAATAAAGTTTCCTAAATGTTGCCTATGTGTCTTATCTACCAACCTGTTGGTATTGTATACCATTTGATAATCACATCAGGGATTACACATTCAAATACAAGTCTGCACAGTGGGTGAGTGGTTAAAAAAATTCTTTACCCTCACTCAGTACATGATGGGAATAACTAACCTCTGATTTTGTATTTGGGTTAATATACAGGTACACATTCCTTTATCCAAAACTCTTGGGGCCAGTAGTGTTTCGAATTTCAAAATTTTTCGAATTTCAGAATGAAGGTGGAGTCTAGGGCAGCACCCCATAATCAAACTTTAACACTGCTGCCAAAACATATGAATACTCACACTAAGTGGGATAAATAAAGACTACAAATACTACTACGGTTTATTTATATAGTAATATATTGATAAGTGAAATAATGGGATAATTATAGACTAGGAACGTGATTCTCAAGTGATGAAGCAGCACTGTGACAGACAGCGGTTTTAAAGACATAACTGATCATGCATTTTCGCCATATCGTCTATGGGGACTTTTTCACCTGTGTTCACAATGTTATCATCATCACTACTATTCTCATGCTTATTTGTATTTAACACCACTTCTTTAAATCATAAACAGTGGTAGTTCCAACACTACATTCTCCAGTAAGATGCTGCACTGATACACCATGATGAAGCTTCTGCAGTAACTCTACTTGCTGTGTTATTGATAACGTCAGATGCTTCCTTATCTTTTTCTCACTGTTACACATAGAGGTATCTGCAGCTCTTTTTGACATTTTCACAGTGAAATTAAACACAGTCACAAAATAAAAAGCAAAAACAAAATATCAGTGAACACCAGTGAACACCAGACACACGTATAAACACTACAAGCGCTGAGGCACAGCTGACACCTACCACTGGCTGTCAGTGACTGACGCTTCACGCTCCTCAAAAAAACTTCGGTTTTCAGAACTTTTCGAATTTCAGAATTTTGAATAAGGGAATGTGGACTTGTAGCAAATTTAGGGCATTTTCTAGAGTGGTTTTCATGGTTTTGTTGGCTATTTCTTGGCACCAAATGATAGTATGGAAGACATAATAGTGAAATGGAGAGTGACCTGAACAGGCCTCAGTTTCACGGAAACAGTCAATTCTTGGTGATTTTTCCAAGGAAGAGTTGGGGCCCTCATAGCATTAGTTTGTTTTCTGGGTTTTTACCAGGTCTGCTTCAATTATATGGTTGTCTTACACTATGACAAAGAATTCTTGGTTATGGTTTATTACTAAAGAAATAAGAGGAAAAAATGTAAATTTGTTTTTACGATTAATTCAAAATGGAGGGCAAAAGTTATACAGGAAAGGCCTGGGATGTTATTAATGAACAGAGGGAAGGCTACTTTAGTGGCTGGAATGCCTACAATGCGTGTTTTGACTTTACCTTTTTTATAATTTGAAAGTGTCAAATTGGCTAAATTGCCAAATACTGGGCACTTTATGGGGAAGTTCTGATAGTTAAATTGGCAGTATCCTGTAACCAGTCAATAGTATAGAAGGCATACTAGCAAAATAACTCAGAAGTGGGTTTTCTTGGGTACTGGAATTAGCCTAAAATAAGCCTCAAAATGAGCAATATTGCTGATGCTTAAAAAGCTCCCAACCTCCAACTTCATGCCTTCATAATTCAAAAGAGGTATCACATCAAATTTTACATTTTTGTCATTAATTCTAGAAAAAAATTCTGCTTTTCAATTTGGGGGGTGTCGACTGAAAGCTTTAAAAGCCCTGTAATTATTTTGTATTACTGTACTGTAATAGCCTTAATTTGTAAACCTTTGTTCTATTTTTCATGTATTTAATTGCAGATAAGGCTGCACTGATTCACAGAGAGTCCAAAAGGAAATTATCTGAAGCACTCTCCCAACCTTGGATCCCTGCTCACTGTAGACATGTTGCTCAGAGATATGCTACTCAGACCTCAGTGACAAAATATAGTACCTACCATACTCATCATTTTTTGTCAAAGCCATATTCACCATTAGATAATCTTTCAAAAGTATCACCAGGTATGTTATTTCAGTGAGTAGTTGCTGATTATTTTTTCCTCCGTAAGCCATACATGTTGTAAGATGCGACTAAAATGCTGGGAGCAAGGGGCTAGTAACCCTTTCTCCTGTATACATTACTAAATTTATAAAGAAAAACTTTCATTTTTCTTTTTGGGCCACCCTGCTTCAGCACATTGAAAAGAAAAGTTATTTATTATATTCATGACGTGCTGTATTTGTCACCATGATTTTTCTACATTTTGTTATTATTATTTTTCTACATTTTGTTATTATTATTATGCATGTATGCCATCATTTTCATTTTTCTCACTTGAAATACTGCATATGGCAATGAGCAGCAGCAGCATGGTAGCAAGAATTTTGCTCCTCTATTTTACAGGCACCTTAGCGTCCCTGTGATGACCTAGCGGCAACATATACCACTAACATACGTGTACATGGAGACCCATAATGATATGTAGATAAACTGTGAAAACCAATGAAATGGATTTTTTTTTTTTGGTCAACCAAGAGGACTTCCTGTTGTCACCCCAACACCGGCAGCCCTGCTGTCAGATGAAGTACAAGCTTCCCAGTTTCCTTGTATTACCCCTTTTATAAATGAATCATCTGAAGCAACATTCTATGGCTAAGAGTCAATACAATACAAGAAGCATTAGACACCTCCACAAGACTCGGAGGAAAGTGTTGTTGCATCATCTCCCTCTCACTAATAGCTTAGAGGACACATTCTTTACCTTGTGCTGCCCCCACACCTCTTGCCAAACAATAACAAACATGGAAACTACCCCCATATGACTACTCTTGCCTCTTCCTTGAATTTGATGCAGTCCACACAATCAAATCCTGGGATTACATGGATTTGTTGCAGTCCTTAGAGAATACCCAAGGTGAGACAATAAAAACTCTTACCCAAGACCTACAAACCCTTCAAGCTTCTTACACTGAGCTTAAATCCATTAAAGCCCTCCACATAAGTAAAACTACTGATCTGGAGGTTAAAGTTTGCAATTTAGAACAAGCCAGTGATACAAAGAAGTCCAAGTAACCATCAACAGTCTTAAAGTACAAATAGCATCACTTAATACCATGTATATCCATGTATGGAAAGTCATGCATGGATATACAGCTTACCAACTTTCTCCAAAAACTGGAGACCAAATTGAGCAACAACTTTCAGATGCTGTTGTTAACAGTGCTAATCTCCTTGGCTCTTCTGCTCAAGATTCTTGTCTCAAGACCACTCTTCAGTTCATCAAGGAAAAGTTTCACATATATATTGATAGCGATGAAATCAAAGAAGTGAGATTGATAGATAAACCAAATGGGAAAAAACTGCATTATTAAAATTTCACTGTTGCTCTAAAAGAAATGACCTAATACAGTCATTCATAAGTGTGAAATGTGATGTTTATGTTAATGAGTACCATACAAAGAAAAGAAAGAACCTTTAGTGACAAAGGAATTCCAGCTAGAGAAAAAATCCACCAGTGCTTTGCAAGAGGGTAAAATTGTTGTAAGAAAATCAACCCCAAGCAAAAGGTACTACATAGCTAATGAATAGGATCTAACAAAAACTCTTATGTGATGTTGGCCTATCAGAGTCAGAGTAAGATGCTGTTTGTACTCACTAATCATGTACTGTGTTGTGCACCCTGAATCTGTAACTGTCATTGTGTTCTTCCTTCATCTCGATATACACTTAACCCTTTCAGGATCTGTGCCGTAGCTCTACGGCTTTATGTTGAGGGTCCAAACCGTAGATCTATGCCAAAATTCTAGTGGCGTCAAATTTAGCGCGAGAAGGCTGGTAGGCCTACATCTGAGAGAATGGGTCTGGGTGGTCACTGTGCACACAATAGAAAAAATCTGGACGCCCGCATGGCATTGTGGGAACGCCGCCAAAGTAGCTTTGTTCATCATGCTTGGCAGCAAGGAAGCTCTCACTCTCCGGGCAGATTCTGACTCTCCTCTTCACAACTTACAGTTCTAAGACTGATGGAAGTGGAGCTGAAGAGGAATTCTATGGTTTTGAACCATATGGTACCATTGTACCATATGGAACAATGGTACCATATGGTACATTGGTGCCATGTCATACAATGGTATCATATGGTACATTGTACCATATGGTACATTATACCATATGGTACATTATACCCTATGGTACATTGTACCATATAGTACAGGGTACAGGGACCCTAATGGAAATAAATCTGTCTGACTTTTTTGGGTTATCCTAGGTTCTCCAAACATATGCTGCTAAGTATGATATTCTATATAACTTTATTTGTGTATACCTAAATAAACTTACAATGCCACATGTGCTTGAGTAAGTTCATTCAGGTGTACAGAAATACAATTACATGGATTATTATACATAGCAGCATATGTATAAAATCCTAAGATTATCCAAAAAAGTCAGGGTGACTTACTTCCATAGGGATCCTTGTATCTGTACCATATGGTGTCCTGTACTGTATGGTACCCTGTACCATATGATACCCTGTGCCATAGGTACCCTGTGCCATATGGTACCCTGTGCCATATGGTACCCTGTGCCATATGGTACCCTGTACCATATGGTACCCTGCACAATATGGTACCCTGCACAATATGGTATCCTGCACCATATGTTTTCCTGTACTGCATGGTACCCTATACCGTATAGTACAATGTACCATATGGTACCCTGTAACATATGATACCGTGTACCATATGGTCAACAGGAGGTGTTGGTGGCATGAGACACCAGCCAAGACTGAGTGAGTGGCGACACAAGCTAGCTACTGACTCAGCAGTTTCCAAGACAAAGTGCTTTGTCATCCACCTCGAGGAACATGTCGAGTGGCTGTACATTTGTAAATATATAATAGAACATTACTAATATACAACATTTTTGCATATTTTTGTTGTAAACAATTATTGTAAACAAAATAATGATGAAAATATAAGTGTGTTTATTGTGTTGAATACAACAGTACCATATACAGTGGACCCCCGCATAACGATGGCATCGCATAGCGATTTTTCCGCATAACGATTACTTTTATCGCAAAATTTTTGCCCCGCATACCGATTAAAAACCCGCATACCGATTTTCGTCCGAGACGCGTCCAATGTGCCCTCACATGTGCCGGCCGTCCCATTGTTTACCAGCCAGCCTCCGCGGTAACATCCAAGCATACACTCGGAATATTTCGTATTATTACAGTGTTTTCGGTGGTGTTTCTGGAAAATAAGTGACCATGGGCCCCAAGAAAGCTTCTAGTGCCAAACCCTGTGGTAAAAAGGGTGAGAATTAGTATGGAAATTAAGAAAGATTTTGAAGGGTTTGGGGCTAACCCTGAGAAGCCTATGCCAGTTGTGGAATCCATTGTGCCTACTTCAAAGATTAAGGAATGTGTGCAGAGTGGTTTGAACTGCAAACCTTTATAGATGAAAATCACCCTGACACAGCTGTTGCAAGCCGTGCTTGTGACTATTTCAATGACAATGTTATGGCCCATTTTAGGAAAGTCTTGAAGAAACGGGAGGTACAGAGCTCTATGGACAGATTTGTTGTGCGACAGAGGTCCAGTGACTCTGAAGCTGGTCCTAGTGGCATTAAAAGAAGAAGGAAGTAACCCCAGAAAAGACTTGCTACCTCAAGTCCTAATGGAAGGGGATTCCCCTTCTAACAGTAAGAAGATAATGCTCTCTCCCCTCCTCCCATCCCATCAATCATCACCAGATCTTCAATAAAAGTAAGTGTCATGTAATTGTGCATGCCTTTTTCAGTTTGTGTGTATTAAAATTAACATTTCATGTGGTAAAAAAAATTTTTTTTCATACTTTTGGGCGTCTTGCACGGATTAATTTTATTTCCATTATTTCTTATGGGGAAAATTAATTCGCATAACGATTATTTCGCATAACGATGAGCCCTCTTGCACGGATTAAAATCGTTAACCGGGGGTCCACTGTAGTACCATATGGTACAATGAACCATATGGCATCATTGTACTGTATGATCAATGTACCATATGGTACCATTGCAAAATATGGTACCATTGCACCATGTACCATTGTATCATATGGTACCATTGTACCAAATGGTGCCATTGTACCATATGGTACCATTGTATCATGTGCCAGTGTACCATATTATACCATATAGTACCATTGTACCATATGGTACAATTGTACTATATGGTACCATTGCACCCTATGGCACCATTGTACTATATGGTACCATTGTATTCAACACAATAACTGCACTAATATTTTCATCATTTTGTTTACAATAAACTTGTAAACAAGTTTTGTAAACAATATAATGATAAACAAATTAGTGCAGTTATTGTGTTGAATATAATGAGTGTACACTTATACAATATACATTATATTGGTCTCACAGGCCACAAATGTTACTAGAAAAATAAAAAAATTAGAAAAGAAAAGAAAAAAGTATAAAAAAACATAAAATAAAAAAATGCGATTTTGTGGAAGTCAATTAAGATGTACATGTTTATAGAGGGGCCACAGATACATCAGGTCACTCTCTAATTGTAGCTACAGTGAGAGTAAAAGGTAGATGGGATACAAGGAAAATAGAAGCAGGAAGTAAGAGAGGTGAAGGTGTATCTACTAAAAGAGGAGGCAGTTAGGTTAAGATATAAACAACTATTGGAGGATAGATGGGCTAGTGAGAGTATAGGCAATGGGGTCGAAGATGTATGGGGTAGGTTTAAGAATGTAGTGTTAGAGTGTTCAGCATAAGTTTGTGGTTACAGGAAAGTGGGTGTGGGAGGGAAGAGGAGCAATTGATGGAATGATGATGTAAAGAGAGTAGTAAGGGAGAAAAAGTTAGCATATGAGAGGTCTTTACAAAGTAGAAGTGATGCAAGGAGGGAAGAGTATATGGAGAGAAAAAGAGAGGTTAAGAGAGTGCTGAAGCAATGTAAAAAGAGAGCAAGTGAGAGAGTGGGTGAGATGTTATCAACAAATTTTGTTGAAAATAAGAAAAGTTTTGGAGTGAGATAAATACATTGAGGAAGCCTAGGGAACAAATGGATATGACAGTTAAAAATAGGAGAGGAGAGTAATTAAATGGAGAGTTAGAGGTATCGGGAAGATGGAGGGAATATTTTGAGGAATTGTTAAATGTTGATGAAGATAGGGCAGCTGTGATTTCGTGTTTACCTGGAGAGAGTTCTGGGGGTCAACGCCCCCGTGGCCCGGTCTGTGACCAGACCTCCTGGTGGATCAGAGCCTGATCAACCAGGCTGTTACTGTTGGCTGCACGCAAACCAACGTACAAGCCACAGCCCGGCTGGTCAGGAACCGACTTTAGGTGCTTGTCCAGTGCCAGCTTGAAGACTGCCAGGGGTCTGTTGGTAATCCCCCTTATGTATGCTGGGAGGCAGTTGAACAGTCTCAGGCCCCTGACACTTATTGTATGGTCTCTTAACGTGCTAGTGACACCCCTGCTTTTCATTGGGGGATGTTGCATCGTCTGCCAAGTCTTTTGCTTTTGTAGTGAGTGATTTTCGTGTGCAAGTTCGGTACTAGTCCCTCTAGGATTTTCCAGGTGTATATAATCCTGTATCTCTCCCGCCTGCGTTCCAGGGAATACAGGTTCAGGAACCTCAAGCGCTCCCAGTAATTGAGGTGTTTTATCTCCGTTATGCGTGCCGTGAAGGTTCTCTGTACATTTTCTAGGTCAGCAATTTCACCTGCCTTGTAAGGTGCTGTTAGTGTGTAGCAATATTCCAGCCTAGATAGAACAAGTGACCTGAAGAGTGTCATCATGGGCTTGGCATCCCTAGTTTTGAAGGTTCTCATTATCCATCCTGTCATTTTTCTAGCAGATGCGATTGATACAATGTTATGATCCTTGAAGGTGAGATCCTCCGACATGATCACTCCCAGGTCTTTGACGTTGGTGTTTCGCTCTATTTTGTTGCCAGAATTTGTTTTGTACTCTGATGAAGATTTAATTTCCTCGTGTTTGCCATATCTGTATAGGGAAAGGAGGAATAACATCTTGTAGGATTGTGAGTGTGGGGGAATTTTGTAGGGCAGTGGGTAGAATGAAAGGGGGTAAGGCAGATGGGATTGACGGGATAAAGATAGAAATTTTAAAAGCAGGAAGGGATATAGTTTTTGAGTGGTTGGTATTATTATTTAATAAATGTATGGAAGAGGGTAAGGTACCTTGGGATTAGCAGAGAGCATTCATAGTTCCTTTGTATAAAGGCAAAGGCAAAAATTATAGGGAAAGAAGTCTGTTGAGTATATCTAGTAAAGTGTATGGTAGAGTTATTATTGAAAGAAGTAAGAGTAAGACAGAGAGTAGGATAGCAGAGGAACAAGGAGGCTTTAGGAAAGGTAGGGGATGTGTAGACCAGGTGTTTACAGTGAAACATACAGGCGAACAGTATTTAGAGAAGGGTAAAGAGGTTTTTGTGGCATTTATGGATTTGGAAAAGGAATATGACAGGGTGGATAAGGGGGCAATATGGCAGATGTTGCAGGTATATGGTATAGGAGGTAGGTTACTGAAAGCAGTGAAGAATTTTTATGAGGATAGTGAGGGTCAGGTTAGAGTATGTAGGAGAGAGGGATATTATTTCCCAGTAAAAGTAGGCCTTAAACAAGGATGTGTGATGTCACCGTTCTTGTTCAATATAATTATAGATGGGCTTGTAAGAGAAGTGAATGCTAGGGTCTTGGCAAGAGGTGTGGAGTTAAAAGATAAAGAATCAGACACAAAGTGGGAGTTGTCACAGTTGCTCTTTGCTGATGACACTGCTTTTGGGAGATTCTGAAGAGAAGTTGCAGAGGTTGGTGGATGAATTTGGTAGGGTATGTAAAAGAAGAAAATTAAAAGTGAATATAGGAAAGAGTAAGGTTATGAGAACAACAAAAAGATTAGGTGACAAAAGATTGGTTATGAGACTGGAGGGAGAGAGTATGGAGGAGGTGAATGTATTCAGATATTTAGGAGTGGATGTGTCAGCAAATGGGTCTATGAAGGATGAGGTGAATCACGGAATTGATGAGGGGAAAATGGTGAGTGGTGCACTTTGGAGTCTGTGAAGACAAAGAACTTTGTCCATGGAAGCAAAGAGGGGAATGTATGAGAGTATAGTTGTACCAACAACATTGTATGGGTGTGTAGCATGGGTGATGAATGTTGCAATGAGAAGGCTGGAGGCAGTGGAGATGTCATGTCTGAAGGCAATGTATGGTGTGAATACATGTATAATGCAGAGAATTCGAAGTTTGGAAATTAGGAGAAGGTGTGGGATTACCAAAACTATTATCCAGAGGGCTAAGGAGGGGTTATTGAAGTGGTTCGGACATCTAGAGAGAATGGAGCAAAACAGAATGACTTCGAGAGTGCAGTGGAGGGAAGGCAGGGTAGGGGTCGGCCTAGGAAGGGTTGGAGGGAGTGGGTAAAGGAGGTTTTGTGTGTGAGGGGCTTGGACTTCCAGCAAGTGTGCCTGAGTGTATTTGATAGGAATTAGTGGAGACTAATGGCTTTTAATACTTGACGTGCTGTTGGAGTGAGAGCAAAGCAACATTTATGAAGGGATTCAGGGAAACCGGCAGGCCGGACTTGAGTCCTGGAGATGGGAAGTACAGTGTTTGCACTCTGAAGGAGGGGTGTTAATGTTGCAGTTTTATAACTGTAGTGTAAAGCACCCCTCTGGCAAGACAGTGATGGAATGAATGATGAAAGTTTTTCTTTTTCGGGCCACCCTGCCTTGGTGGGAATCAGCCGATGTGTTAAACAAAAAAATATTTATAAATAAGAAATATTGCATAAAAACATAAAACATAATAAAAGAGAATGTAAAGATATAAACTGGTTTTATAAAGTGTATTTACCTTTGAGATTAGACGACTTGGGCTAACGGAAGATGCTGGCAGAGGTGGAGGGTGGAAAAGATAAGCAGAGGAGATTGGAGGAGTTCATTTCATCTCATGCTTTTTCGGTCGCTCTTGTTCATCATAAACTCTGTCGCTTAATCGCTTAACTTGCTGCACTCTTAATGCTACACTTTATTGTTGAACTTCAGGTTCGATTTCTTTCATTTTTGGTGTATGTGAAGACGTGTTCATAACTAAGATTGTCTGTAAGTTTCAGTAAGGTAGCCCATTTTTTCCGAGAAAATTGTTTTTATTTCAGTGTTTTCCTTATGAAACTAGTGGCATTTAGCCTCACAAAAACTCAATTTTCTCTTACCCAGGACCAAAGAACATGTTATAGGAAGGAGCAGTAATTATTGTATGTGCAGGATTGGTTGTCAACACTTGCCATATTATGGCCTATTTTATTCATTCTAGAGTATATATCATATTTCGAGGTTATTTACAGTGTTTATTATGTCATATTAAATCAGTTCTGAGAGATAAATAAGCTGTAGAGTTGATATTAGTGTTTTATTGAAATATTTACTCCTGGCCCTTGAGACTCAGGAATTCCACAAATAACTGCCTGGTGACCCATGCCTTCGGGTTTACCCTCCACATAACCTGCAGTTTTTCTTTTAGAATCTTATGCGACTTAAAGGCTCTGGGGTTTTCTGAATGATATACAAGTAGCGGCTTGATCTTGCAGTCATCACTCGCATTGGCGCACAGGGTTAACCTATCCTTCATGGGTTTGTGGCCTAGATCTTCTCCTGTGCATTTATGTAAGTCGTCCTTGGCATCTTCTAGAAGAGCCCTGTCTCATCACAGTTGAAGACTTGCTGAAGGATGTATCCTTCAGCTGCTATCACTGCAAAAGTTTTGAGGTAATGTTATGAATGTTGTGGTGTTTGCTGCGCCAACTAGTGGCGGCGTATCTGAAGCTTGCTCATAACTCGGATTTTGGCTCGCAACTCAAAGCAAAAAACAGACCGAGCGACGGCTTGTAACTGGGAAAACTCGTGAGCTGGGGCACTCGTAAGTCAAGGTACCACTGTATAGGGCAGTCACTTCCAATACAAACCTTCTCTGAAATTCTTTGTTGATAGTTGTAACAGAACTCGCAGGCATAACACAAGACACAAAAACCTCATTGACATCCGCGTGTCCAACTCAACCTGTGTAAAAAGCACTTCGTATCCTTAAAGTAATCTAGACAACAGTATGCTATGTCAAACAAAACCTGTTTTTACTAGTAATTAAGGTGCTTGCCATGAAGGTTCCCTCTTCATTATCTAGATCTGCAATTTCACCTGCTTTGAAAGAGATTGTTAGTGTACAGCATTATTCCAGCCTAGAGAGAATAAGTGACTTGAAGAGGATCATCATTGGAATGGCATTCCTTGTTTTGAAAGTTCTCATTATCCATTCTGCAATGACTGTTCTTTCTGGCTTTATCATGCTTCCTTCCCTCTTACCCCCTGTCACTCAGTCAGTCACTCATTTTTATTTACAGTATTACAAAATCTAAATATATAATGTAAAGTAGTAATGCATGTTAGTAATGCATTGTTAACATCTTTGTTTATTTGCAAATTCATCTTTTTTTTTTGTATTACAGAACTGAGAAGCTATTTCAAGAAATATTCACAAAGAGTAACAAAGCTAGTGGGCTACAGTTATCTATTTGCTACCCTCCTCAACACTCATGCCATTCAGCTGCAGAGAGACAAAATTCTACCAATAAGTAAAGAGAAGGTAAATCAGTTAGATTAGTTTTGTATGCTTAGCAAAACTTAAATCAGTGTAAGGCAAGAATGGGTACATGTGGCCCTCCACCCTGTGTGATCACGGGTTACGTTCCTGAAAATGGTGCTATGTATGAAAACGTGACGAGTGGAGTGAACAGCTTATGGAAAACATTAGGTTATGCTCTGTGCACCTTGAAAGAAGCCAAACAACTTTTCTTTTGAATTTGTAATTCAACTAAAATAATAAAATAATTATTGTACAATGATCTTGAAGGCACACAGTTGTTAAGCTTCAAACTCTTTACAGTACATTACAGAGAGCTAACCTAGAATAATTTAATTTAGCATAAACTTAATTTCTGGTTGCTGATGCCCATGGGGTTTGAAGTTGCTTTAGCCATACTGGGCTGAGGTGCATGGCAGATGATCTTTGAATGAGCTGGATGCCTGGATTTCATGGACTGTGGTCAGTGCAGAGTTATTACTTACTGGAGCCCTCAGGTATTCTGTCATGTGTTTACCAAGCAGTATTTTATACACCTGTTGGTAAGGTATCATTGCGTGGTCCAGAAACTGCTTCAGAGCAGAGCTTCTAGATGTATCAGGGTCTTCAGTGAAAAAAGTTTGCAACTTTAGCAACAGCGTGGAACTGCCCATGTAACTGTTGCAGTGTTGTTTCCTTTGGTTTTTTCTTTTTTATCCTCTTATGCTGTCTTACCCCCCTTCTGTTTGAAAATTGAGCTTCACCATTTCCCGTGGACATCTTTGCAATCATTATTTTTCATTCACATCTTCTAGCTCTGCATATCTTAAATGTCCTCACCTGGCAATCTTCTTGCCAGGTCAACAATTTTCTGGACCTGACTCAGTCAAGAAAAAACCTTCAAAATTATTTACAACACTAGGCTGTATTTTCCCTTGTCCTTCATTTATTGTTGAATGGGGCATTTTATCCCTTGCAGCTTTGATGTGGGGTACTGCATCTGCAGTGTTTAATTTATACAAGAACTCTTGCACTCCAGGCTCTTGAGTCAGTATCTATTACTTCAATTAGTTTTTCATCACTTTGTGTACTATGTAGATACGCTAAATATCTTAATTACTCCTGTATTCAGTAGTTGTATCAGTGTCGTATTTGTTGGTAAAAAAAATTTAGTTTTGGGTTCACATCCTACAAGAATTCAGGATGAGTACAAGAATTATCAAGAGTTAGGCTTGAATGCAAGGTTCTTGCTCTGCAGATAAAATTGGACTTGGGGGAATATCATGATACTTGAGCCAATCAATTATCAAGACTTCAATAAACCAGACTTTTGTCTTGTTAGACTGTCAGATGACATGCAAAGGTCTTTTGTCGTTCTGTTTCAAAGCATGGAGATACTTTGAATAATAAATAAGTACATGTATAGATCTGCATCTAACCCTTTCACTCTTGAGACCCCTGCTCACAAAATTGCTCTCAGTGTTGAAGGATTTAAAAAAAAAATTATTTTTACTTATGAAATGATAGAGGAACTTTTCCTGATGGTAATGACACCAAAAGTATGAAATTTAACTTGATGCTTTCATGAAGTTAGCAGTCTCAGCGATATTTACGCATTGGCGATTTTGCCCACTTTGAGCCCTATTTTCGGCTAATTCCATTGTTCCAGTCAACCAAACTCATAGCTATTTTGCTCGTACTCAATAGATTGAGTACAAGTAACTGCCCATTTACCAGTTTCAGCTACAGTAGACCGTCATTTAGCATGATTCAGGTATGGCACGATTGAAGAATTGCGGCACAATTTTATGTAACATGTCATAAAATTAATTTAACACGGCAAACCAAACCATACCCCCGGCCGGGATTGAACCCGCGGTCATAGAGTCTCAAAACTCCAGCCCGTCGCGTTAGCCACGGGCTGGTCTAGTGGTCTAGTGGCTAACGCGACGGGCTGGAGTTTTGAGACTCTATGACCACGGGTTCAATCCCGGCCGGGGGTATGGTTTGTTTGCAATCGTGTCATTACGATTTCTTGAGTCATGTTGACGGCAGTGAAGGGACTTGAGCTAGAGTTCGTCACGGCCACGCTAGCTGGAGATTCGTCTGTAAAAACTTGCATTTGTGGTCACAGAGGTGCCTGTGCTAACCTTCCTATGGTGTAGAAATATACCTAGTTGGATGAATCTTATTGTGGCTAGCTGGTCTAGTGGCTAACGCGACGGGCTGGAATTTTGAGACTCTATGACCGCGGGTTCAATCCCGGCCGGGGGTATGGTTTGTTTGCAATCGTGTCATTACGATTTCTTGAGTCATGTTAATTTAACACGGCTCAGTTTGCGGGAAGGAAAAAAAATCCCTTTTCCTCAAGCGGCCAACTTGTTGTGGATCAGCCAGGGAGACCTCCCACCATCCCCAGCCACCCCATAACATCACCCCACCATCCCAGCATTCGTAGTTCATACGTGTCCAGTAATTCTTCACTGCTACAAGCTAGCTGTTTTTGTGAATTGTGTTTTGATCTTTTAATTACTATATCTTGTATCTGCCAAACAATCATGACACCCAGTAGTCATACCAGTGTTGCTAAAAGTGGCAAGAAAAGGTATAAGCATTTAAGTCTTAGAATTAAAGAAGAAAAAGATATTAGACGAGAGATGACCATAATGAAGTGTTATTTTGTACACATAAAAAAAGGTCAGAGGTAGTAGGTTGGTAGACAGCAACCACCCAGGGAAGTACTACCGTCCTGCCAGATGACTGTGAAACAAAAACCTGTAACTGTTTTGCATGATGGTAGGATTGCTGGTTTCTTTTTCTGTCTCATAAACACGCTAGATAACAGGGATATCTTGCTACTCCTACTTACACTTTGGTCACACTTCACAGACACACACATGCATATATATATATACATACATCTAGGTTTTTTCTCCTTTTTCTAAATAGCTCTTGTTCTTTTTTATTTCTTCTATTGTCCATGGGGAAGTGGAAAAGAATCTTTCCTCCGTAAGCCATGCGTGTCGTATGAGGCGACTGAAATGCCGGGAGCAATGGGCTAGTAACCCCTTCTCCTGTATACATTTACTAAAAAAGAGAAGAAGAAAAACTTTATAAAACTGGGATGCTTAAATGTGCGTGGATGTAGTGCGGATGACAAGAAACAGATGATTGCTGATGTTATGAATGAAAAGAAGTTGGATGTCCTGGCTCTAAGCGAAACAAAGCTGAAGGGGGTAGGAGAGTTTCAGTGGGGGAAATAAATGGGATTAAATCTGGAGTATCTGAGAGAGTTAGAGCAAAGGAAGGGGTAGCAGTAATGTTAAATGATCAGTTATGGAAGGAGAAAAGAGAATATGAATGTGTAAATTCAAGAATTATGTGGATTAAGTAAAGGTTGGATGCGAGAAGTGGGTCATAATAAGCGTGTATGCACCTGGAGAAGAGAGGAATGCAGAGGAGAGAGAGAGATTTTGGGAGATGTTAAGTGAATGTATAGGAGCCTTTGAACCAAGTGAGAGAGTAATTGTGGTAGGGGACCTGAATGCTAAAGTAGGAGAAACTTTTAGAGAGGGTGTGGTAGGTAAGTTTGGGGTGCCAGGTGTAAATGATAATGGGAGCCCTTTGATTGAACTTTGTATAGAAAGGGGTTTAGTTATAGGTAATACATATTTTAAGAAAAAGAGGATAAATAAGTATACAAGATATGATGTAGGGCGAAATGACAGTAGTTTGTTGGATTATGTATTGGTAGATAAAAGACTGTTGAGTAGACTTCAGGATGTACATGTTTATAGAGGGCCACAGATATATCAGATCATTTTCTAGTTGTAGCTACACTGAGAGTAAAAGGTAGATGGGATACAAGGAGAATAGAAGCATCAGGGAAGAGAGAGGTGAAGGTTTATAAACTAAAAGAGGAGGCAGTTAGGGTAAGATATAAACAGCTATTGGAGGATAGATGGGCTAATGAGAGCATAGGCAATGGGGTCGAAGAGGTATGGGGTAGGATTAAAAATGTAGTGTTAGAGTGTTCAGCAGAAGTTTGTGGTTACAGGAAAGTGGGTGCAGGAGGGAAGAGGAGCGATTGGTGGAATGATGATGTAAAGAGAGTAGTAAGGGAGAAAAAGTTAGCATATGAGAAGTTTTTACAAAGTAGAAGTGATGCAAGGGGGGAAGAGTATAGGGAGAAAAAGAGAGAGGTTAAGAGAGTGGTGAAGCAATGTAAAAAGAGGGGCAAATGAGAGAGTGGGTGAGATGTTATCAACAAATTTTGTTGAAAATAAGAAAAAGTTTCGGAGTGAGATTAACAAGTTAAGAAAGCCTAGAGAACAAATGGATTTGTCAGTTAAAAATAGGAGAGGAGAGTTATTAAATGGAGAGTTAGAGGTATTGGGAAGATGGAGGGAATATTTTGAGGAATTGTTAAATGTTGATGAAGATAGGGAAGCTGTGATTTCGTGTATAGGGCAAGGAGGAATAACATCTTGTAGGAGTGAGGAAGAGCCAGTTGTGAGTGTGGGGAAAGTTCGTGAGGCAGTAGGTAAAATGAAAGGGGGTAAGGCAGCCGGGATTGATGGGATAAAGATAGAAATGTTAAAAAGCAGGTGGGGATATAGTTTTGGAGTGGTTGGTGCAATTATTTAATAAATGTATGGAAGAGGGTAAGGTACCTAGGGATTGGCAGAGAGCATAAGAAGAACATAAGAACGAAGGAACACTGCAGAAGGCCTACTGGCCCATGCAAGGCAGATCCAAGTCTCCTACCGGCTTAAGCCAATGCACCCAACCTAGTCAGGTCAGGTCACATTGACTTAAGGGAGGAACACGGCAACCGACCTGGTAGCACAAGCTATCAGGTCTAACTCACACCCACCCACATCTACTCATGTATTTATCCAACCTATTTTTAAAGCTACACAACGTTCTGGCCTCTATAACGGTATTTGGGAGTTTGTTCCACTCATCCACAACTCTATTACCAAACCAGTACTTTCCTATATCCTTCCTGAATCTGAATTTTT